TCCCCCTCCCCGTCCCCCCTCCATACAGTGCTCTGTAACCGTAGACGCACCACGCTCCTCTTGCCGTCCCTCCTGCTGCGGAACATGGAGCGTTTCCACTGCAGAGCTCGGAGTCTGGAGTTCAGGTTCTCCACCAGCTCGTCTCGGTCCTGCAGCTCGATCAGCTGGAAGGCCTTCTTCGTCCGGACGCTCACTATGACGGGGTTCGGAAGCAGGCTGGTGCTCTCCGCCTTCTCTACGGACAACACCTGAGGAGAAAGGACGAGGTGTCAGGACAGCAGGCCGGCTGAGGGGGAGGAGACTAAACTAGAACTACAAAGAGAATACAACAACAAACGATCAGATTATGAACTTGGTTCGATTCTCAGTTCATCAACATTTTTTAAATGATAATGAAATAAATAAAAAAAAATATATATATATATATATAAACATGCTAAATATAAATAATGTGGCGACTTCTCCTTTAATGTGAACAGTACGAGCCTGAGTGTGTTACTCTTTAACCAGCAGCAGGCCGAGTAAACACAGAGTGTTTGAAGACGTCACACACACACTCTCTACGAGGCTGGACCAGTGAACCTACATATACACACACGCACACACACACACGCACACGCACACACACCTCCTGCAGGGATCACAGAACCTCCCTTGTTATGTTATTTATTACCTCAGGAGCAGTTTAAAAGGCACCAAAACAAAATCAGGTGATTGATGAAGGTTTGTGTAGCGACACGTTGTGACTAAATATCTCTGAATGAAAGTGAAGAAGACTTCTATATTATCTACATTGTGTTTCCTCCTACGTACCCACCGACACACTGCTTTATTTTATTTAAAATACATCTTAAATACAAAATGACTTCAGTTCAATTATTCAATTCAGTTATAATCATCTTTCTGAAATGAAGTACTGTATTTTAAGATAAACATTTTTCACAGTGTTGTGATGGACCACTGACTCTGGTATTTACTGGTAACCCCCCGTGTTTTTATTCGATTCCTTTAAAACAGCCGATTGTCCGGCTGATGGACAGGTGACCTCAGGTACCCGTACCTCTGACAGCGGGATGAGGAGCATGCAGCTGCCTTCCTCTCGGCCGGAGAAGCACAGGTAGCCGTCGGTGGTGTAGAGGGTCCCGGCTGTGTGGCAGCGTGCGTGAGGGGTCCACATCGAACACGAGGCCACCTCGTGGAGCCGCTCACCACGAGGGAGCCGGAACAGAGCCAGGACATACTCCCTCAAAGCCTGCTCCTCCAGGATCCTGGGGGGGCGGGGGGAAGACGATGAGGGGGAAGAGTTAGGCGGTGACACGAGGATGAAGACACCGGGCCAACCTTTGAGTCTTCAGGTTCAGTCAGAGGTAATAAATCAAGAGAGAAGTAGAGTCATTTTCTCATAGACTTCTATACAACCAGAGGAGTCGCCCCCTGGTGGACACTAGAGAGAATGCAGCTTTAACACATGAAGCTTTGACTTCACTCTTCAGAACCGGAGGTTGCCTCCTGGTCTGGATGGATACAAGGACTCAGCAGCCGACTGTCCTGCTTCACTAGAAACAAAAGTCTGTTTTAACCACTTTTTCTCAGATTTTACTATTTCACATTCAGTGAGATGAGTTCTCTCTCCATTCTGGACTTTCTGAGGTTTCTGTTCTGTTCTCTTGCGTGTACTTTTCATTTCATTTCTCCTTCCTCTTTTCAGTTTCCATCTCTTCACTTCTGCATGCTCAGATATCCGGAGAAGACAGTTTATATTCACAGGTATCTGTTGTGGTCGGCTAACCGCTCAACCATCTGCTCTGCAGCTCAGCAGCTTTCTTTGAACTGGTTTTGAGGTTTTTACGGTCGACAGAAATACGTTTGAAGACTTCAATACATAAAACACAGAGAGCCTCCATTTTCTTGTTCAAATTTGGTAACAGTTGTGGAAACTTGAAAACATGTTGGAAATATAGATTCCAGTGTTAAATTATCAGAGAATTCAACTTGTTTTTTTATGATGCATGTCTTTATAACTGTGTTGTTCTGCACTACAGACATGTTCTAGTTCTCTCTACTTCTCGTCGTGATGGTTCTGTTTCCATAGAGGAGCAGGACTTACAGAGAGACATATTACAGAGAGAAACGAGGCAACAGAGAGAAAAATGTGACGGGAGTGAACAAAGGCCTAAAGCTGCTGGATGTTCAGCCGCATTTCCAACAGGAAGTTGGTGGTGATTTAAGTCCTGGGACTCATTTTCAAGGAGCTAAAAGATTCCTTCAGCCCGTGGTTGTCTCTGTTAACATAGCGGCCTGAAGTCTGGCAGATTATGAGCTGATTTAGGCCCCCGACCGGGCCTTTAGGGGGGTAAACCATCCCCATAACTTAACTAAGACTCTGGTTCCTGAGGTGGAAAAGTGTTTCATAGTAACAGAAACCAGAACCACCGACTGACCTCTTGGTGATGCGGGCCGGCTGCTGCAGGACTCGGTCTATCTCCAGGCCCTCGCTGTCCAGCAGCCGCCTGATGGCGATGTCAGCCAGCTGACCTATGACCCCGAACGCCTCGTCCGGGTTCAGGAACATCGAGAACTCCCTCTGCCGCCGCCGCGTGTTGATCCGGACGGCCTCCGTCATCAGACCGGTGGAGACCCGCTCCAACCGCGTCACCTCCGCCCAGGGAATCACCAACTTCACTGGAAGAGAAACAACAGAGAGAGAGTGAAATATCGAGTTTCTGACCGCATCGTAGTGCAGCTATCTTTCTACAAATCAATTAAACTCTTTTTGTGAATGAAAAGATGCCACAAGAAACAGACTTTTGTGTCACGATAAGCAAGAACTGAGCTCTGCTGGTAAGAAGTTTGGGAGGATGAAGAGCAGCTTTAAAATAAGACCTGAAACACAACTTAAACTAAAAAGGTTTGGTTGCTTTTAACTGAAATAATCAGCGTTTGCTCTTATTATTCTGAGGAATATCCAGTTTATTCACACGTTCATAGTTTCTGCAGTGAAGCAGTGAATTGTTCTGCAGGAGTCGGTTCCTTTTGATATTTTTTTTGACACAACGTGCATAAATATAAATATTATAATAATCTCCCAGTTAGCGCCTTCAGTCTCCTGGTCTTTGAAAGTCAGAGCCCTCACTTTGGTGTACAGACCTTCCTTCCCCAGCAGGAAGGAGTAGAAGGCCGCGTGGTTGATGCTGAGGTAGAGGAAGCCCTGCCGAGGCACCCGGCCCTTCCAGCAGCAGCAGGAGTAGTACGTCACCAGCTTCTCCGACGACGGGAGGCCGAAGTGCAGCTCGAACTTCAGCAGCGCCTCCCTGAACTTGTCCGGCTCGTCCTCCTGGGCGGCCTGGCGACCCCCGACCTCCTCGGCAATGAGGCCCTACGGAGGAGGAGGGAACGTATGCTCATTCATCAACTGAATCCCCTTTTTAAACCCACAGACGAAAAGCTTTTATCAGAACATGTCAGATGATCCTCTGGCAGGTTTCTCACCCTGACTTTTCCTTTGACAAAGCTGGCCACATCCTCTTTATTCTCAAACACAGACAGAGAGTGAAGCAGGTTGTGGACCAGCCAGTCCCAGTGCTTGTTCACCTCCTCTACGGCAGCTCCTGAGGGACAAACAGAACAGAGAGTCAGAGGAGAGGACAAACCGAGACTAAACACAACCACACCAAAAGGAATGCCGGTGGTTCAGCTCACCGCTGGCGATGACCCAGCTGATCTGGGAGCCGGGGACCTGGAGGAGGACGCGGAAGGGTGAGACCCGGGCATTGGAGTCCAGCACCGTGTCCAGAGCCCCCACCAGCAGACCTGCAGAGACAACACCACCGCAGAGAGTCAGGACACTAAGCTGAGACCAAGTCGATGTTAGAGAAACTCATTGAGAGAAAACGTCCTTTAAAGAGATGTTTAGTTAAATTACAGACATTTAGAATCTAAAGACTCTACAGGTGAATAGGGTCAAACAATGTATGTTATGTTTAAATATGTAAATGAGGCATTCTGTAACGGTAACTTTTGATGAATTTAAGAGAAATCTACAGACACAAACAGACAAAGTAGTAAAATAAATGTTTTCTTTCCTCTAGTCTGAAAGAAGACGAGTTATGGAAGAAAAGATCAAAATCAACCTGCATTTCAAAGGTCTGACTGAACCAGATCACCATCTCTGCTCCACAGAAAGAGTGTTTACATGTTGAGGAGAGGAAGAGCGATCAGTATCAGCTCTCCTGCATACCGGAGCTCGACTTTACGAGATCTAACTCAACAGCTTTACAGGTTGTCGGCCTGTAAAACCTGCAGGGAAACTTCCAGCAGCTGATTGGATGAACCATCTGTCAATCAAACTCTTAGTGAAGAAAGTTTGGACTTTTAACAACATAACCGTACACACTGTTTTCATGCCACATAATAATAAATGATCCGCCCTCTGATCTGCATGGAATGGTGAGATAGCGACAGATTCATAAGCTTCAGTGGAGATGTGAGGAGATTAAGGTTCCTCCCTCTGGCTCTCAGCCTAATGTAAACCGCATGTGAGAGTCAGAGTCGACCTGCCTGGAGCTCTGAATCCGGCAGCCGGGCAACACAAAAGCATCCGTCTGTCGACACAAAGCCCCGAAGAGATTCACACCAAACCTTCCAGAGAGAGGAGTCAGCGTGAATCATCGCCTCCTTTCTGCTGAGAGGGAACACAGCTCATGAGGAACACAGGTCTGCCCTCACAGCGACAGCACTGGCATGTCCATTCTGCTCTTGAACGCATCAATTATCTGCTTGTCTTTTTCTTGTGTTTAAAGTCAAATACAGGAACATTAAAGATAAGCAGAAAGTTAGAAATAAACACACAGAGACTGGTATGAAGGGACTGATCATTGCCCATCCCTTCTCAGAAATCCTGATGAAAGCGTCTCATCACTGGCGTGTTTTCACAGCTTTGAGCCAACATTGAATTTCAGTTTATGCTTGAATCTTTACAGCTAGAAACACATTAAAAGCAGTCAGACCTGAGCGATGAACCAGACTTTGCTCCGTGCTGTGTGTCCAGGAGAGAGAAGCTCGTTTAATTAGTTAATGTTGAACGGCGGGACAACAGGACTTGACCCTTCACCCGTCTCCTTATGGTAACAAACACATACACAAGTAAAACCCCGGCCAGGAAGTTCCTACTATTCTGTTTTATGAGGAGCGCTCTGGCCGGGTTTCCCCACAGGGAGGGAGAATAATGAAGACACGAGCTGGTTGCCTGGTTTATGGACGTGTGGTGTCCCTCGTTACGTAAATCTACTGTACAGACAATGTGTCCGAGAAGCCTGTCGCACGGACCCAAAAACACAGAGAGGAAGCCAGAAAGAGGAAACGGCAAACATGGAGAGAGCCACAACTCACAGCGGTGGGAAGCTGCAAACAGCACACACGTGTGTAACTATGGTGGAGGAAGTAGTCAGATATTTTAGTAAAAGTAGCAAGTGTAGAAATACTTTGTTACAAGTGCTGCGTTCATACTCTTAATTAAGTAAAAGTATAAAAATATTAGTATCAAAAATACACTTAAAGTTACTACAAGGAGCTTTAATTTAGTTTTGCGCCCCTTGTGGACTAACGTGGTAGTGTCTCTGAGCTCCAGACTCTTTAGAAAACCTCTCATTCTACTGCAGCAGGTCTGACAGTCTGCCCCTCTCAGTCCTGGTTCTGGTTCTCCCGTGCCTCCCTTCCCTCCAGCGGGTCCAGCAACACGTCCTGGGTCTCCAGCAGCGTGGTGTCGGCTCCCAGAGAGGAGAAGCTCTGCTCCTGGAGGAGGAGGAGGAGGAGGAGGAGGAGGAGGAGGAGGCGGCACTGCTGCTGCCGGGAGCTGAGCTCTCCTCCTCCCTCCGGAGCTCCAGATCTGGGTCTGTCCACGGTGGACCGGTCTCTGCTGGAGGATCTGGGTCTGTCCACGCTGGACCGGTCTCTGCTGGAGTCTGAGCTGTAGGACGGATTTCACCAGAATCTGACCCGGTGGCTCCGATGACGAGCATTAAGAATAACTCTATAGAAACAGACCATCTTCTCTCTGGTGGTCTCTTTACTGATGGAGGTCTGATAGAGGACCAGGACTAAACTGAGACTGGTTCAGGACCAGGTGAAAGTTCCTTAAATGAACGGAGGCGATGGACCAAACAGTGGATGAACAGAGGGAGGAAAAGGCTAAACTGGAAAATTATTGATAGAATAAAAATAACTGACAGGCAACTAAAGAAAAGTTAAGTTTGGGAAACTAAACAAAGTTAGGTTGAAACAACTAAAGAAAAGTTAAGTTTGGGAAACTAAACAAAGTTAGGTTGAAACAACTAAAGAAAAGTTAAGTTTGGGAAACTAAACAAAAGTTAGGTTTATTCAACTAAACAAACGTTGGTTTTAGGCCACAAAATCACTTATTTAGGTTTACGAAAAACATTATTGTTGGGCTCAAAATAACTATGACAGTTAGGCAACAACAAGTACAGGCAACAAAACAAAAGTTAGTTTTAGAAAAAAGTCACGAACATTAGGCAACAAAACTAAAACACCAGAACCACAACACCCCGAGACATTCGACATCCAGAGTTGCTTTTTAGAGATACTAAAGACCAGGAGAAGAGTTCAGAGAGTCTGAACTGTGAGCAGCGTGAAGTTAATTTAACCAAAATGTAGTGACTAGCTGTTGGTGACGTTCTCTTCTCCATATTTCTGAGAGCGCTGGAGTTTTGACCCTTCAACAACTGAGCAGGAAGGTGTCACTCTGCTTCTAATCTTTGCTCCGAGACCTGAGTGAAACATTTATACAGGAAGTGAGAATATAACTTATTTATAATAAATCAAATGTACATTTAACATCCTAGATGTCTATTTAATTTAGTTAAATTATCTCCACTTCTTGAAACAGAAACTAATATTTTACCATTTCTGTTCTGTTTGTGATCTTAATATTTGACACATTTACAACATAAGCTTTAAGACATGAACAGAAACCAAATATTTACATTCTGCCTGTTTTAACTTTACTCTATTAGTATAAAAGTATTAGAATTATGACATATGACATACATGTATATCTCATATGTGGAACTTGTTGTTGCATAGTTATGTTTCTGGTTTAAACACGGATGTTCTTGCAGTGTCACTGATGTAAAACACTACATTGATGTAAACACTAACTATATTGTTACATTGTTCTGGATTTGGCCCACAGTGAAGTAGTTTGGCACCTCTTGGTAACAGACTGTAGTAATGCTGAACAGGGACTTTCCCGGGAACGCTGTGATTTAAATCATCCAGAATGTCCCTGAAGTTTGGTTCAGCAGACCTTGTTAACTCTTTAATCTTTCTCTTTAGGATGCCTTGTGATTTGTATTCCTGTTGTTTCTATGCTTGTTTGTTTGTTGTTGTTTACCAGTCAGTCTGTGCTGGTTCTTTACCTCCTCTATGGTGTTTAAAGTTGGTTTTTCTTTACCTGTGATCCGTCCCGTCGGCTCCCCGTGACCTCTCCTCCTCTGCAGGAGGAAGAAGTCGTTGCTCCTCTCGGTCACCCAGAGCTTCAGAGCGTTTTTCAGCAGAACTTCCTCCGGGTTCAGCCACATGTTTTACTTCCAGCAGGGAGTGGACCTGGAGGAATGCCCTCCGCGGTCTCGGTCCTCTGCAGCGGCGGTGCGTAAAGTTTCTCCTCCGCCCGTCCTGCGGCTCTGGAGCGGCCTGGTCGGTGCTACAGGTGCGTGGTTTCGGGTTGATCCATGAGTCTTATCCTGCGGCCCCCCGACAGCTGCAGGTTTCACACTTCTTCTCCTCGCGTCTGCTCCTTCACAGCCGATTCACGGCAGCTGTAGCCGAGACGACCACCAGAGATCGTCTATTTGAGGTGATGACTCACTCTGTAGCTGAATCTGGTTACTGGAGATTCTTTTTTATGTATGAAGATTACTTTAAGTTTTCGAACCCATCATCACAAATCATCACAATAACACGTTGCATTTTATTTATTTTTTATATTTAGGCTCAAAAACATTTAAGGCATTCTCCAATGACAACATTTATATTCATGAATAAAATAATGTTAACTCTGTTCCAGTCTATCACATATCTTATATTTTGTTAAATGTTTCTGTTAACTCTTTGTTTGAAGTTGTAATAAGTAGCTTATATTCACAAAAATCATACAAATATATAACTGTCATTAGTTGTTTTTTTTGTATTTTTGGAACAAGGATGCACAACTTTTATTTTTATTTTTAACTCATTTTAATTGAAAAAAGTAAAACAAAAAATCATAAACTGAATCTGAAAACCGTCTTCATTTTCAACATGAGTAAATAATCTGAACTTGAATTAACTGAAATAGTTAAAAGGCTCAATAAGTAGGATTTTAAATGTTTAGCGTGATGATAGTCGGTAAAAAGACACATCCATTTTTTTATGGGGATTGTCTCATTTTTCCACAAACAAAAACAAAACATGGGACAATCACGCATAATAAATGTAAATAAGGGCTTTAAAATATAACACCTACTCCGATTGTACCTTCAGTTTCTTTTGTGCTGCACAAAATCAGCATTGTTTTGATCGTGTAAAGTGTTACTGTAAAGACTTGTTGGCATTTTGCAAAGAGGAACATTTTCACTGGAATTACTTTAGTTTAAGCAAATCATTCTATTATTCATGTTTAGTTCTAGATATGGAAACATCTGCAACAAACAGCCTTCTGTAACACATTGACTCATCTCAAAACACAAGAAGTTTTAGTCTACACGCAAAATATATTAAGTATGATTATGATGAATATACAAATAATTAACAATCACAATCTCAGACAATATGCTGGTCAGAATATATAAATATTGAAAATAATGTTAATAATAATTAAAGAACAACATAAAGTCACTTAATAAACTGAAGTCAAGAAAGTTGACCAAACTAATTATAATGTATTATATTATTATTCTGTAAATATGGAACTGAAACATGACGTACTGATTACAAAAGAACAACAGAAGGAGAGAAAACATTCACGTGCAACGAAAACGAAAACAAGACACTCAGGTAAAGTTTGTGGTTCCTGAGAAACAGGTACAGAGTGAGAGCTCCTCCTTTTATTTTCTTTCCGCATTTCACCAACTTTTCCCTTCCGACAGTTCCGGCAGAGAGTCGCAGGCCCTCCTGTGATTGGCTGACTCGGTGTTCAGGTGCTCGGCGAGTTAATTATCCACAAAGGTTCATTGTTTGAATTCAGACCGTTTATCAAGTCAAATAAGGCTCTAAATATTACTATTACTCTCTCTGCTTAGTTCCATTACTGCTGACTACTGAATGGTAAATTAAACAGCATGTTACTTTAAAGGACTTAGGAAGATTTATTATATGAATTTATTTATATATGACAGCAAATAAGAAGCAAAACATGACACAGCTGATTGTCGATTCTAGTTATCATCATTTAAAACTAATAGACTTCCAGAGGCAGCAAAAGAAATAAGGATTAAAAATCAAACGTTGTGGATTTTCTGAGACGTCACTTCTCAACAATCTAAAATCAAATGGAAGCAATCTTCACATACATTAGAATGAATCTCTTATTCTACTCTCAGAATGTTATGGACAAAATCATAAATTGTTTTAAATTAAATTAAATTAAGCTTTATTGACATGAAAGTTTCAGAAATAAACAATGTTTCCAAAGTACAAAAAAGTACATATAGTATTAATATTAATATTAACACAACAGAGTATTTTTAATCTTGAAAGCTCATTAAACTCTTTGAAATCTGGGATTACAGTTGAAAATAAATGTTCCTTATCTCATCGAGTGTTTTACATGTTAGGAGGAAGTGCTTCTCTCTCAAACAGGGTTTTCTTTGGTGGCCATGTTTTTTGTTTCTTCCTGTTTAGTGTACTTTAATTTGCCATTAATGAAGCTAGCCACATTGACACGCACTGAGGCTTCTGGTGAACCATTTGATGAATCCACTTCTGATAAGTTCAGACCAGCAATGAATACAAACCAGATATTCATTTTGCTCAAAGCGGTGTGAAGAAGAGGAAGTAGAAAAAGAGGAAGTTAAGCAAGTGAAACTGGTTGGAGCTTAAATTAGATCTCAACGTGGTGAACCAAAGATTTCACATGAAGACAGTCCTGTTAGCTCCATTTAATGTAGTCCTGGTCCTCTATATGAACCAGTCTCAGTGTAGTCCTGGTC